GCCCTCCAAATTTCATTCTCCAAATGTTAAGCAAGAAGATGAAAAACAGAATTAGGCCTTATTTGTGCCTGTTTAAACTAGATTTAATTATACCTAATCACATCATTGTAACAAATTATGTTTGTTTAACTTAGCCGTCTCCACCCTAAGCACTCGTGAACTCCATTATGCTGGAGTGTGTTGAAAACGCTGCTTTTTAATTATCCCTAATTTGCACTCTGAGCAGATACCTTTGTATCTCGGCGGTGAGGTAGCGGACGTGTTGACAAACAGATGGGAAGACGTGCATCTGCGTGTCTAAGAAAGCTGCTTGCGGTGCATTCGGTTTGATTTCAGAGTGATGCATCAGTAATCTTAAGTTCCCGGTTACAGAGACGTGTGACGCCGCCTTAGGTCGCCCACAGGTGCGAGTGTCACTCCGGATCTCTGTGCGAACTTGCAACTTGATTCAGCCTCTAAAATAACTGTTTCGTAATTGTTAGCGTTGACTAACTGCATTGCGCAAGTCGAGTCGTATCTGCGGCTCATCGACAAGGCCCGACGTGCTCTTAATTGGCGCCGTTGTTGACCGTAGAGAGGACACCCAGGTATTTGAATCAGCTTATCTGCTGGAGAGAGGGATCGGATCGCTCTTATCAGTTCAGGTTCATGGAAAAGCGATTAGAGCTTGGCTGCTCGGCTGCTCTGTGGAACAAAGGTGTGGCTTTGTGTCTTTAGAGGAGATGCTGATGATAGATAAAGCACTTTGTGCCGCGGCGTGGTGAACAGAGGGAGCACTTGTACAAACAGTGGAGGGAATCCAAACAAATCAGTGTTAACGACAGTTAACGACACGGCGCTTTACAGATATAGACACCGCTTGGAAATGTTCCCCATTTTGTCACAGTGCAACAGCAAACTTCATTTCACTGGGATTTTTCATGGTGGACCAATCAAAGTAGAGCGTGATTGTAGAGGGTAAGGAGAGGAATGCATGGTTTTGAAATGTCTCTCTACATAAAACTAAGAAGTGAGGTGTCTAATTCTAACTCAGTCGGTTTTTGACTAATTTTAGACAATTGGCTGTCCGCTTTCAAATTAGGAGCAACAGAGTAAAAGAGGTTGAATGCAAATTCGCACCACACCTTTTGGGATTTTTATTTATAAAAAAATAAAACTATGATTGTTTTTCCTTCCACTTTATAGTGTGCTGGTCTATCACATTAAAATCCCAACAAACACAGGCATATTCTCCTCAGTGAATGGGGTATTTCTGTAATATCCCATTCACACTGAGTGTGATATGATTCAATGAGTTATGAATACTTCTGGAAGGTTTTGTGTATATTTGGGATGAAACGATTAATCGGATTAATCGTGATGAATCAATTACTGAACCAATAGTCGACTTACTTAATAATTGATTAATAGTTAACTGGAGTAAAAAAGAAGAAGAAAAAGACCATTTGCTGAAAGAATGTCACACTCGGAGCAGTGAACATTGCCAAAACTGCATAAATAAAAATATACATTTTGTATTTAGATTTAACAAAAAAATGGTTAAATATGTTCTATCCATAACTCCTCAAAGTTGTGTTTTTTTTCTATCCAGAAAAAACACAGCTTTAATTTCACCTGGTTCAAATTTGTAAAAATAAAAATAAAAAATAATAATTGCCTACTGAGCAACTTTTGCTATCTAATTATAATTTGCTTAGTTGAAAAAAACAACAAAAAACAACAACTCATCTCTCCAGCAAAAAGGGTGGAGCTTTTCACATATTTAGCTGCAGATGCCTCTTTTACTACAAACAATCCAACATTCACTAATGCTGTTGTTGCGATTTAGACAATAAAATATTTACTTTTTTGTTTGAAAATGAATTGAATATTTGCCTATTTGCGTCTTTTACTGTATTTCTAATATTGTAAGAAAAAGAGGCTCAAATCTGAAAAATGTGCCAATTTTTTATAGTTTTCACAATAATCAATCAAATAATCGATTGAATAATTGACTGAATAATCAATTACATGAGCTACTGCTAAAATAATCATCAGTTATATAATATAATAATCATGGTGTATGTAGTGAACAGTGCTTTAATAATGCCGGTGGAATAAAATCACCACACGGTTTTTTTCATGGTGAGTTCAGGGTGTGTTGTGTTCTTACCTGACTTCCCTCCTTCTGCCAGAAAACTGCCGGCTGGGGATTTCCTTTGGCTTCACACGGGAAGGTGGCAGTGCGGCCTTGTGACACGATCTGATCCCGTGGGCGGATGACAAACTGGGGTGGAGCTGGAGTCAAAGCACCGATGCGACAGTGTTAGAAGGTTACTGGGTAGACTGGGAGCTGGAGAAGTTCAAGCAGAAACGAGCAGCAGTGCAGAAAGGAAAACAACGCTGCGTCCAGAGCTTCCATGCAATTTCAACTTTGTTTTTACTCTGAACAGAGAAGAACACCAGGGACTGACAGTGCCATGGTAACCAGATTGGCCATTCATTCAGGTAAAGGCTGAATCTGAATGAATGACAGTCACAGTGGCATTCACACAACGAGGTGCCTCAGTCACAATGGCATTTAAATCTGGGACAACACAAAGGCACAGCCATGCCTTCAAAACGTTCACACTTCAGATTTAGATGGAGGAAGGACTAAGAATACTGCTGTATCAAACCAAGAACACGACTGTTTGTGTGTTCAAAGCCCCGTTCTTAAAGAAAAAGGACATGAGCGAAATCGGCTAAGATTTGCCCAAAAACATACCGGCAGGCCTAGAGAGCAATGGCAAAACATTTTATAGACTAACAGAAAACAGATTGTTCTTTTAAGATTCTTACAGTTTATCGGACGAACCCCCAAACACTGAATATGAGTCATGATGTTCAGTGAGGACCATGCAGTGGTCAGCTCAATCTCCAATATAACAAGGGGGGGTGAAATCAAACACGTTGTTTCTGAGACAAAGTGGAGAACTGCGAAGGAATGTTGGAATGTAGTTTAACTTTCATCAATTGTGGTCGATTATTTGAAACACAGATGTGGAAAAGATTCCAGAAGCAGCACTTAATCTCAATATTAGTTTAGTTATTCCCAGGAATATAGAGGAGGATTAAACATGAAACAAAACAAAAAAAGAATCTGACTCTAATCTAGGATTTATCACTTTCTGTCAGAATTCTGGGCACAATGACAAAGATGAGCTGTGCCACAAGGAAAAATGTCAGATTTAATGGTTTTTTTTTTTGTTTTGTTTTTTTTACATGAGAGTTTAAAGTCAGAATTCTGAGATTAAAGTCTGAATTCTTTTTTTTATGGCCCTTATTATCTTCCACACAAAATATGCTAATCTTCAAGTATTTTTCAGTTTTTGCTGTAAGTATTAGACTTTTTAAAGAAAAAAATGCTAATCCTGTCATTTTTAGCACCCTTACGTTTCTTTTTGCATCACTTCTACAAAGAATACAATAAATTTGACTTACTTACTACGTCTTTCCGTTTTCGTTTTGAATCGACTCTGTTGTGTGTATGACAAAAGCCGTTGCCGTTTTTAATGTATTTGGACCTTCTGTCTCTGAACAATACTGTACATAAAGCTGATTGTTGCATTTGATTTTGCAAAGTGAACTTGTTTTCCTTTTGATAGCCAGCAGGAAAAAAAACTCCTTTGTTTGCAAAAAAAAGAAAAAAAAAAGAAAAAAAAGCTGCTTGTATTGAAGTCAGTAGAACAATAAGCCCAGCTCTCCTTTGATTTATTACCTCAGAGAACAATTGCACAAAAGCTTTACAAATTGCTTCTTTCAAATCTTCTTACAGGCACGAAATGTTCAGATGTTGGTGCTTAATTCGCTTACTCCAAAATAAATTTCTGTCAGGACAGTAATTGATAGCATTTACTCTGACAACATACCAGAGCCATTGTAGTTAGAAAAAGGGGAGGAGTAAATTTCTGCCAAAAAACTCTGAAATGTTCTAGAAAAAAGAAGGATATTTGTGAGTTTGAAATTTCTAATATTTTTGACTTTTGAAACAGTGTCAAATGTCCATGTTTGTTCAAAAAATTTAGGAAATCTAAAAAATTTCCTTATTTTTTCTAGCAATATTTCACCTTTTTCAAACTCAGAAATGTCCATATTTTTCACAATATTTTCTGAGAATAATCTTGACATTTCTGAGTTTTTTCTAACCATTTTTAGCATTTCAAACTCAGAAATTTCTTTTTTTTTTTTTCTGGCTAATTTTCCACTTTTTCAAACTCATAAATGTCCGTGTTTTTCCTTGAGGTTTTTTTTTTTTTTTTTAAATCTGCAATCGCTCTAATACGCCGTCATAATTTACAGACTGATTCAAACTGAGATAGTTGCACTGAGGATATAAAAACTGTTTCCATGGTAATATACATCCTGTGAATGAAGATTCGGCTCCACAAATAAAAAGTAATTAACAGACATTTATCATATTATCAGGGCTGTGGACTCCTCTGTTGAAAAGCACATTGATGACATAAGATACGTCATAAACAACTCATCTCTCTCTGTGGGAAACGAGACTGGAGGAACATAATAAAGTCTGCAGAGACCAACTCCTCACAAGTGCAGACAACAGATTAAAAAGGTTATGATTGATACAGACAGAAATTCAATGACATAAAAACTGAATTGTTGCAGTGCAACATCTTGCACCCTCTCTGTTTCTTTTGCTTTCCATGTAAGTATTTTTTCTAATAAGCCAGCTGGTTTCTGTAGGGCCAGTCTCTGCCCATTTGGCTGCTTTCTGCATGTAATCCCTTTCAGGGTGGGGGGGTGGTGTGTATTTGTCAAAGATACACACAGTTGGGAATAGTACAGATGGTAACAGATTTACTGCCTTCCCGTTTGGCCTTCTGGAGCTTGGATATCTCGTGGCTCTCATAACGCCAGGCCTGATACACAGCTCCTAAATCATGCTCTGGCAAGGACATTGTTCCTTCCCTCTTCATCCTCTGCTCTGCTCCATCCTATAGCCTGCATTACTAAGTACTCACTAAAAATATGGTTAAAATGTTATACAGCCTTCCTTTATACGGCGCTGTAAAGCTTTACCCTTCCTTTTTCTAGCTTTGCCCTTTCACTTTTAAACAAGGCCGATGGTGTACGCCAAATAGAAAAAAGCTAAATAATAAAAAAAAGATATTTTAATACCCTGTTGAACTTGTACATATTTTAGTCAGAACTTTGTTTTGTTTTTTTTTTTCTGTAAGGGGCCTCAAAATAGTTTCCATCATAGTTTTGAAGCATTTGATGGAAACGGCAAAATTCAGAATAACTTATAATCTCGCTTGTGGTGCTTTCTAGCTTCTTCAGAAAGAGTTAATTCGCTAATGGAGAGATGGAAACACATTTCTCAAAAAAGTTCCAACGTATCAAACCTTCCCATTCACCGTGCCTAAGCAGAGGCGCGAAACTAAAAAAATTTAAAAAATTTAAAATAAAAATCCAAACCTCCAGCTGAGATAGAGTCCTCCATCTAAGAAAAACTAAGAACTCTCCATTTTTCTGAGATGTGTGGTCCATGCTAGTTTAGAACTTCTACTTCCTCTTAATCCCAGCATCTGACTAAATTACGCTGATTGATTTCCCCCAAACCAGCAGATGGAAATACACCTAATTAACATTTTCTTCTCTTAAAGTTTTTTTTTTGTGCCATTTCAAAAGTTTGCTCAAAATTCCCATGAAAACTGAATGTAAAAATATAGCAAATGATATCTTAAACATGTAAAAAGGAAGCAGCTGAGTTGGCAGAGCGTGGGCACCATGTGTGGAGCCTATAGTCCTCAGGAAGTCCTGGGTTTGATTCCCGGTCTTGGACCATTTGCTACATATCTTCCTCTTCTCTGTCCTCTCCATTTTCTGTCCTTAAGGTGTTTAATAAAATCCACTACACTCCAAAAAAATCTTTAAAAAATAAATAAATAAAATAAAAAAGGGGAAAAATATTTGAAAATTGTGGACGGCATTCAGTATGTCTTCAGCCCCACTGATTCAATACTTTGAGGAACTTTTTTGAATTAAAGTATTCCCAGAGAATGACCATATCATCACCTTCCTAAAATAATGGCTTAATAACATTTCTTGCCAAAAAATGATTTAAGCAAAAAAGAAAAAAACAAAAAACTTTTTGCAAAAAAAAAAAAAAATTATGCAAGGTCCATCCTATATTTCTGGAAGGTGACAATGTTTGACCGGTTCTGCATAGAAGCCAAAAATGTTACATTTTTGACTGACTGTCCAAATCACCTTCTTCCACATTTATTATGTCTCCTATGACTTCTGGAAAACTTGTGTGATTATGACTACTTGTAATGTATGGATCGCATGTTGAGATGAATAGAAGGTCGGGGGTGATAGTTTTACACTCCTACGTTCTATGTTTGGATTCAGAGACCCTAATGACATATGAGAAGCCGTTTCCTGCTCTCACTTAAAGAAACACATGATTGGAGAGGATGGTGGTGGGAGGGGAGCATATTTAATTCATGACCAGCCACATCTTCCTGGTTCGGAGAAGGCTCTGCATGCAACAGCAGTCAGGGTGAAAAGAACAAATGGACAAAGAGACAGAGAGACAGAGATCCTTTTGGTGCTCACAGTCACAAACATTTCGTCCTCCTTTAAAATCCTGTGTTGAGTCATATTTTATTCAAACGTTGACAGCAATTACTGTCTCTTTCCCACAGACTGGTTGAATGTGTAATTTCCTCCGTTTTCAAGGGAGCTGACAGTTTGACAATCACCGAGCAGCTACTGCTGTTTTGGCAACCCGAGTCCTGCCACTGAGGGAGCATTTTATTCTTACTTTTCTTACACCGGCCCAGCCTGGTGTTCGAAACGCACTTCCGTCGTTCTTTCCCTCCCCGTTTTCCCCCTCCCGATGCACCTTTATCATTTGTTTCTGCTCCTGAGGGCGCATATCTCATCAACGTGCCAACTCTAATCATCTGAAACTCCAAGTGCTGCAAATTTGGTATTTTCTTGATCTTTATCTGTGGAAAATAAAATAAGCTTCCTAACTGGGAGACATGGGCACCAGTAAAAAAAAAAAAGTCCAACACAAATGGATCTCAGTTTGGCATTCCAGCAACCCACAGATGGCGTCAGGACTCGCAACGGAAACACAAACTGGAACATATGAGATGACAATGTCTGAGATGCTGATGCAGCCAGCCCACTCAGCCGTTGTCAAAGGACAGACTACAATCTGAACTACCAGAGTGGAGAAATATGGATATCATTTGCTAAAGCTGAGGTGTTTTACATGAAACATTCCTGCTTACAAATATCTCCCTGTGTAATTTCTTTCAAGTGATTGTTTAAATTTTACTACTCACAGTCATTTATTAGTAGCTGAGTGTTATAAATGATAATATTAGTGTGGGTCTTAATTTAGTAAAAACTACACTATGAACACTAATCTTGCGTACAAGTTTAGACTGACTGTAAATGATTCTTTACAGTCAGTCGGATTCAGGTTAATCGGATTAATCGTGATAAATCAATTATTGAAATCATTATCAGTTTATCTGGCAACCAATTAATCATTAGCTAGAGCACACACACTCAAAAATATAAAGAAAATATGTTCTAAAACACAAGTCAAGAAAAGAAAGCTGAGACTTTGAGATTTTGGCATTTTGACTTTGGAAGGATTATATTTGAAACTGCACATTTTGCTACAAATGATCAATAATTCACTAAAGAAACGGTGTTGTTGCATTTTAGGCAACAGATTTATTTTGCTTTTTGAAATTAAAGGGATTGATCTTTTCAGCTGCATATTTTAATGTACTTCTGATATTGTACAAAAAATCTGAATAATGTTGCAACTTAGTTATCCGATTAATTGATTAATCATCACATTAAATAATCTATTGCTAAAGTAACTGTTGCTCGCAGCCCTTTGCTACAGGCATAAAATAGTGAAACACACAGTTTGGGAAATAACTTCCCAATGAAACCAAAAATAAATACAGATCAACGATGTATCTTTTTTTTTGTTTGTTTGTTTGTTTTTTTTAACAAATTTTAATAATTTGGATTTTATCTGACCTGAACTTCCCAAAATAATTATAAAAAAAACAAAACAAAAATGGGCTTTAAAAAAAAAAAAACTTCTGGCTTGATTGTAAATTTGATTAAAACACTTTCTATTCACCAATAAATTAAAAAAAAAAAAAGCTCATCAAGTATTCCTTCTTGTGTAAAAAGATCCACACCTAAGAATTGTTGTGATAGCAATTAGCAGCTAGCTGTAATTACCAAGACTCTGGCATTTTTTATGCATTAGCATAAAGTATTTCCCATTCTGCAAAAGTTGTAGAATCTCTAGATAACATGGTATAGAGACATGGAGCCGGCACTTTAAGGAAATTGTTGTGTTAGTCAAATACACAAACATCAGTCCAATGGTAATGATCTTAAAGTATTCAACGGCTGTAATGGTTAAGTGAAAAAGCATGCAAGATGAGTACTTACCAACAGGGCGAGCTGGAGACACAACAAAGGTGGAGTGGATACACAAAAGAAACAAAGTAAGACACAGACGCACAAACAGAAAAGGAACAAAGCAAACATGATAAAGTAAAATAAATCAGAATGAATGTCATGTTGAGCCAGAGACATGACAGAGAAGATCCAGTAGGGGGCTGTCCACTGTTCAGTGAGTTCAGGTGAAAACAAGATTTTCTCGGACCTAGAAAACTGATGAAAACATCCAAGTGTGACGAACCAGATTTTAATGTGGCCGTTTTTGCTCTCCAAGGACAGAACTGCAACTGGACCTTCTCTGTCTTCACAAATAAAATCTACTTTTCCATAGGTGATGTCGTCAGAGCAATGCAAACATGTTTCACAGCTGCTGATGGATAAAGCAGAAAATAAAGCAAAAACAGATGCAACAAACACCCAGAACTTAGTATGCTGGTAACATCTTTACACTGCATCATATCAAATCTCCATCTGAAGAAAGAAAACCCTGAAAAAACGATCTACGTGTGAAGCGGTGCCTGGTAGAGAATATTGAGGAAAGTACTCTTATGTTTTGAACTTTTCTACCTGTTACAACCATACACTTCAATGCATTTCATAGGAGTTTTATGTCATGGACCAACAAAAAGTTCATTCAAAATTATGTATGAAAAGTTGAAGAAAACAATGGATTTCAATTTTTCAAGGTTATGAAAAACTACAATAAGAATTGTGACTTATAGTCTAGAAAATACGGTAATCTCAGCCTTCCAAAATGGCTCGTAAAACTAACAAATATAAAGAACCAACACATGTTTTTAAATATAGATATAACAATAAATGCATGTTTTACGAGTTTCTCAGTTTTGTTGTGCTCAATGTCCACATCATAATGATAATAAAAATTCACAGCAATTATTTTTTAGCTTTAGTTTTCTTGTTATTAGGTTGTAAAATTTGCTTTATTTCAAAACTTAAAAATAGAAATAAAATTTCTTGAAAATAACATATTCCCCCATGGTAGACATTTACAAGATATCTTTTTTCAAAAGGTAATATAACATTTGTGGCTCTAAAAGAGTTTTATGTGGCCTGGCTGAGGGCAGGAATGGCTGTTAGGACTGTAAAGGTTGCAGGTCCAAACAAGATCCAGGTCTAAGTTTAGCTGACAATCTGTTGTGTTTCTAGATTATGTAAATCTTTTTATTTGTAAAAATATTGAAGCCTATGAATTGTTTTCTTGTTACTTAGTGTTAGTTTTTCACATAAAATTCTAATAAAAACACTGAAGTTTGTACAGTCATATTCAAAAAGTTAAAATATGCATTCAGATTAGTCTTGTCATATTAAAAGCACTTTTAGAAAATAACATTTAAGCAGATATGAAACATATTTTTTATTGAACCCAAATTTATGTATTTTTTTAAATGGTCTGATGTAATATTATCATCCTAAATGTCATGTTTTAAAGTGGAACATCATCATACTTAACATCTCTGTGTAATTAATCAATATAATAAAATTTTTAGTAATATTCCAGAAATTTTGTACATGTGCACGACGCTGTAAGGCAAAAAGACAATTATTTTACTTGCAACCTGTAGCTGTGGTGGCGTTGTACAACAATTTTGTTAACTAAACGAGACCTGGAGATGTTAGTATTATTAATATTTTGCAAGGCGCCACAACAAAGGTAAAATAACGCAGAAAAACTGTAGAAGAACAACTCAAAGTCACTTGTGTTCTTATTTTTTCACATTCTCTGTTTTGGCTATGCTATACACAGACCTTGTTGCCATAGTGATTGACTGATAACAGCTCTGCTACTGTATCAGGATTCAACACCATATAAAATGCAAACATATCCCACACAAAGATCACAACATTCAGTCCGTTACAGTGTTATGCTTCCATGCTTAGTATTTATTTTATGATTATTAATAAGTCTGAGCAACACTCTACTGATGATCTGTCAGAACTTGTGTGTGGGTCATTTCTTTTTCTTTCTTTTTTTTTTACTGAACTGAAAAACCAAATTTCACAGCACATCTACATGTTAAAGCTGTCAAAGTCAAGCTAGCATAACAGACCTACTGCCCACTCTCTCACTATTATTTTTAATTAAAACTTTTGACAGTGTTGACAGTAAGAAGCTGCGTCTGGTTTTCTTATAACACACGTAATTTTAAGATTTAGCTTGTTGACAACTTGACAGCTAAAACAATTTGTGGTCAATGTCAGCGAGCAGCTTTTTGCGTGATCTTGTGCATGCCATCACGTTGTAAAATGTCTATATGTGGCTTTATGCTACTGTCATCAACCTGTTTCCAGTCATCTCCTGCAGTTTTCTGAGGCCCTAAAGCGCTCCACAGAGGCTGCACATACTGGGTGTAATAGAAAAAAAGACTGGTGCAAATAAGAAAAATTATACTCAGAATGATTTTATTAATCTTGCAAACCTCAGATGTGGTTAGAGACGGTGTGCACCAGTAATCTGTGAAATGGCCTTGTTGACTGGGTGGTCGCAGCATGGACGCTAGCAGAAGGGGGAAGTTGGAGGGGGGCAATAGTCCGCGAGAATGAGAAGAGGAAGTAGGCTGACAAAGTGTGTTGCTGATGCACTTGGAAATGTAAATAATTAAACAGATTCATAGACTGTAAACATCTCTGTTGGCTATGAAAGTCTGTGTGCTATGTCTTCATTAGCATAAAGAAATCCCTGCAGAGAAAACTGCCAATTTAAACCTCATGCTGGCGTGAGAGCGAGGACCCCAGCACTCCTTGGCGTCTGATGCGCTGCTGCTGTGTACTTGGATTGTAGAGAGGAAGAAAGAGGAGAAGTGTTTTACCTCTGACTGTGAGAGTGGCCGAAGCCTCCAGCTTGCCCACGCGGTTTTCTGCCACACAGGTGAACATGCCCTCGTCGCTAATGGAGGCTTTCTTCACTCTCAGCATATAGTCGTCCTTGTCGTAGCGGATGTCATACCTGGAAGCGACCACACGAAACATGAAGTTGAGTTAGAGCCCAATACATTTACCTTCAGCTGAGGTGGAGTTTTACTGACAAAGATTGAAAGAAATAATACTTTAAAAAAAGTTTTTAAAGCAGCACCACTCAGTCATCACAAGAAAGTCCTCACTTTAGGTTTCTCTTTATATGTTCACTAATAATATGTTAAGTGTATAACTGTTGCAGTGTGTGTCTACAGGATGTGAATCACAATCATTTTTATTAAATAAATTGTTTCTACAACAAGATGTCTTACCCACATGTTGTTGTACACTGCTGGTCAGCTGGCTGAAAGAACACTATAACGTTTTTACTTTCATTATGTGGAAAAAAAAACAGATAAGGAAAAACAGAAGAGAGTCTGCTTTACCATTTTTTCAGCATCAACACTGTGTCAAATTAATAATAATAATAATAATAATAATAATAATAATAATAATAATAATAATAATAATAATAATAATAATCAATGTCAACTGCACAAAATTAGTTTTATTTGTAGTTTTTCTGCTATGAATATATATATTTTTAATCATTTCATACATTTTAGTTTAAATGTTTGTTGTATACAGCATGATGGACTGAAACTGTTATTATAGTTAAGCTTATCATAACATGTTAATCTCATATTGGTCCATTTGAAGAGGTTGATGGCTCCCTGGAAGCAGTGCAGATGTTTTAAGCTAGCAGGCGTACTGCAGGTTGCATTAAAGACATCATCACATCCTAAATAATTGGTCTGTAAAGAAAAAAAAAACACTAATCTTAGTTGAAATTACACTCTCTCTTAGGTATATTCATTTTGTTGAATGTACTATAGTTCACTGCTGCCTAGAGACCATTATGCGGACTTCAACAAAAAAAAAGAAAAAAAAAAAAAAAGAAAACAGCAGCACTGAAATTATACAGCAGCTTTTAACTCAGAGTATTTCTATGTGCCAGAAAACGCTTAATCTGCAGTCCAAAGACCAATAAAAACACACTGAACCCAGTGCACTGAGGTCTGCTCAGGTTAACCCTTCACAGACAGAAAAAGACCTCCAGAGATGGAGATTTTTTAATAAACTACACCTGAGCAGAAGGATGTAAATGAACTATAACATAAACATACAGTATTGTTGTAGCAGTATGGCATAGTACTGTAGTAGTATGACTTAAATTTTTGTAAATTTGTAATTTTTAAACAGATGTTTTATTTTAACAATTTCATATTGTTATAAATAATTTTATATTAATAAGCTTATGGTTTATAGACAAGTGAAATAAAAAAAAGGCTTTATTCTGCTTCATGCAACATAATAGATGACAGTTTATAGCAATACTTCTTGATGTGACTGTAGGGAAACAGTTTTCCACGGTCCATTTCCTTCAGAGGGAGAAAGACCCCTCTGCTCCAACCATCAGGTGTACTGATGGCAGCTTGCCACTGACAGCTGAGGAACTAATTTACCACGTCTATCCATGTCTTGTTTTTTTTTTTTAACCCACTGTTATGACATTTCCTGAGAAAGCATTCAAAGGCAGTTTTATTGAAGCACATTCCTCAACTATGACTGCTGGGTTCCACCTTTCCACACTGGCACTTAAGGAACCATAATGATAATTTGACTGAGTCATGACTGAATGCTTTGTTCTGCAGGGAGAGAGGGGATGTACCAGGTACCAGTGATTGGTGTAGATAAAAGATTTATTGTTACAAAAAAAGAAAAAAAGATGAGTGGCGTGGTAAGGAATGAGATGGCACCTTTTCAGACAAGCCTGCTGTCAAAGGAAAAACAAACAGTCCCAACAGGAAGAGTATCATTTCATATCCTGCCTTCTGGATACAATGGATAGAGCAACATGAACTCTTGAGTTACCAGGGAGGAGGTGCAGGTGACGAAGGGCAACAAAGTGACAAGAACAAGTTAGGGCAATACAGTGGATCCCTAGAAGTGCTAATAAGCAATATGCTAACATTTTTTAAGGCAGAGTTACAGAGTCATAAAAATTTCCTGTCACACTGTTCCTGTGGTTCAAAGGACTTTTAATGGCATACCAGAGAAAGTGTTGAAATGGGTTTGTCAGAATAATGCAACTAAGCTCCTACCACCGGCTGAAGGAAACGACTCAAAAACCTCTGAAGAAGACATGAGCGCAACTTCCATTTTCACAAAATGTAAACATTAATTGTAGTGGCATCAGATTTTAGTGGGTTTAGGATTTCAATTCAAGTTTATTTAATCAAGAATAGCTGAGTAAATGATGTTACATGATAAAAACTGGAAACCATAGTTTTGCACAAAGGTTTTCTAGCTCCGGGCCTAATTTGCAAACCCAATCAGTCATTGGTTCTTGACTTCTCATTTGTCTTTGGCAAAAAGACCACAAGCTATTTCTGCCGCTTCGACATGTTGATTTGTTTTGGTTGTGCCATAGCCTTTTTGTGCATATGCACAAATCAACATGTCTCTACTATTTCACATTGCGGGTATACTCCAGTATGTTTACAATGTTTCTGTTTCGATTCCTACCTGTTGATGTAAGTTGAAACTGAATAGTTTACAAAAACTGCAAAGAAAGTGGGTGTTTAGGTGGGACGAGTTTGTCATTTTAGGATGATGAATGTATGTTTGCAGTCTTATAGTAATCCATGTTTTCACAGAAGCTTGAACGTTACAGAAAAAAAAAAAAAATCTTTTTTGTTGACATGGTAGCAAAGTTAGCTGCCATGCTGCAGCCCATCTTCTGTTGTGTTGCCTAGTTTGGTTGTAGTGATTGGTTGAGCTATTTTTGCCTCCTTCTCATCTCTGCCCATTTTCTTCCATCAACAAGATATTTTTAGTCACAGAACTTCCTTCCAAGGAATATTTTCTCCTTTTCTGACCATTCAGTACCAATAACTTAAACAGATCCCTTTCTACTTTCTAATTGACTTAAACTCCCCTTTTTTCCCAGTTCTGATGAACTTCACCAAGATTAGCATAGAAATTGTGTTAAGTAGTTTACTTGTGACTGGAGAATTAGCTATTTTTGTTAACTGGCAATCAAACTGTTGTACCTGATAACTGTACAGTGAAGAAAATACCATTAAAAAGGCTCTTTACTTTTACAGTAACTTTCATTACAGTTATATAACCCATCGTCACTCCAAAAAAAAAGAGAGAAAACAAACAGCAGTTGAAGTGTTCATTGAGGTTCCCACAGGCCTGACTGAGCCCTTGTTGTTTTGGAGAGGGCAGGTATGCACATATTAGACAAGAATCTTATTGTTATTGGTCCGGCCTCAAGCAACCTCTCAAAAGACAACCTCAGGTTGATTCATGACTTATTAAAGGGACATGAGCGCAATCAATCTGTAATCAACTTCCCATATGGAATCAGCTTAGATGAGAAGATGAGTGGAAATACTCTCAGGGATAAGAGGCGGTTGCGGCCACACAAGTAACTGCACACAGCGGAGGGGAACAGTAGCTCTTTATTGCGAGAGCTCTGTTCTCCATTAGAAGAGGAATGTAATTGCACATGTATGAGGGCTGTGGAAAAGACTGGAGCGCCAAGATTGTTCCACTGGACTCTGCCTGCATTTCAACCAGGATAAGACATACTGTACACACACGGCACAAAGAAGACCATCGTTCACGTACACACACTCACATTCGCATACAAACATTCTGAATCCAGGGTCTTTCGCTCTTGCGGGCTGATGGGGAGTGATGGGAATGTAAGCAAATGCCAAAACAAAGCGGCATTTTTCTTTTTCCTTGCTTGTCAGCTTGATGTGTTTTCAGCATGAGAAGGCTGTGCTGAGATGAACATTTAATGGGCATGCTTTAAAAGCAATCCATCTCAAAGATCCTCCAGATCATTTTTAAGGATTTGACTTTAAAGTGTCTGTCAGGAACACAGCCACCCTTGTTCGACCTTCTCTCTTGTGCCAATTCACCCACATTAAGAGATTTCCTTCTTTCACTGTACAAACAGCTGAATAATCGTGTCTACAAAGGAATTTTATGGCAGAATCTTATCTGCAGTACCTCTTTAAGTTCGGATTGATAGATACGGTAGCAGGGAGGAGGAGAGAAGGCTGTGTGCCTACTCTCAGCATGAGTCAGAATCAAGATAGAGTTGGAGTTTAATTCCAGCAAAGAACCTTAGTCTGGCTGCTCTGCCAAAGACCTTTTCCTGCTTCATTTCATTCTGCCAGCTTGATCCAGTTTCACACCATCGGACCACTGATTTCCCTCAAGCTGATCAAAGGAACAGAAGTCTATCTGTCTAGAACTTGTTGCCCATAAGAAAGAATCAATTACCCACTATCAGTTCTCATCTGGCTTCAATGCAGCCTTTGGCCAGAGCTGCACTACCTGTGGTCCCTGGCAATGTCTCACAGCCAAAAACCCCCACTGGGATTCATCAGCAATTGGGCATTAATCGTAGAATAGTTTGTCAAAATTTCCACCCTGAAGCCTGGCTGTTTTGTGGGAACAATTTTTTTTTCTTTCCAAATTAGTTATACAAAATATGTTTTTTATTAACTGAATTGAAATTAGTTTTCGGTGGATGTTATGGCACGGCTGGAAAAAAAAAAAAAAAAAAACGTTGCAAAAATGATAAATGTGGAGCCACAGAACAGAGATCACTGATCATTTATTTTTTATTTAAGGAGAATTTGTCTTTGTGTGGAGCAGAAATTAAAGAACACAAACATCAAAGGAATCAATATTACACTGAGGAATTGGTGCTTTCTTAGTAAAATGTGTGAGAGAGGGTTTTCAAAGCACCACAAGAAATGTTTAGGTGCATATTCCTGGTATTTAAAAATGCATTACCTAAATCATTACTTAGTATTTTTAAAAATCCACTGAGAAATTGTCTGGTGACTGGTATTGACCAGTTCTCAGCCAATTGAAACAATTAACAGTCAGATAATGCAACATATGGAGTTCTAGTAGGATGCTACTACAGAGCAACTTCAATTTAGGTATTTTAATGGC